ATCCCAAACAGATATGTATGCTAATATACAGCTATATATATATATATATATATATATATATATATATACACACACACACACATACATATATATGATGACAGCACTGTCTGTAAATAGGTCAAAACTGAAAATAACCCAACATCCATCAACATAAAAGGGTTTTAGACATTTAATGAAACAGTATACAGCAAAAAAAATGAATCAACTACAGTCATACACAACCTTATGGATGAATCTTAACACTAAGCCCAAGAAGAAAGGAATTAAAGATTACATATTGCACAAGTACATTTATACAGAGCTCAAAACCAGAGAACTATAGATATTCAGGCAGCAAAACAAGGAAATAACTTCCATAAATATCAGGATATTGGTTACCTACTGGGCAAGGAAGAAGGCTGTAATCTGAATAGAGTAGGCAGAGCCTTCAGGAGTCCTACCAATATTCTATTATGCTCACAATGGTTGTTATACAAACGGTTGCTCTACTATGTCTTTTAAATGTAAATTTAATTTATATACTTTGAAGTGTCTTTCCTGTAAAAATAGTTTAAAATTCAATGCATTAAAATTTTTAAAAAAGCCAAGACTAATCAGAGCTGTTCTGTTATAGTAAACTAAATAGGTACCAAAGATATCCAAAAATGTATTTTAAAATTAAATGAAATATGAGGCAATTGTTCAAATGCTGGTACAAATTTGCACAGACAAGACTGGCTTTTACATGGAACTCATATCCCTTTTGTTCAATCTGATCATGAAGAAAGACTAAATGTTTATTTACATACATATAATTATTAAGTGCTGTGTTAGGCAGGCTCTAAGACGGTCTCCAAAATTCCCCACAAGAGCATTCACACTCTTGTGAAAATTTATGAATCTGGAAGGAGCCAATGATTTGCTTCTAACAAACAGAAAACAGAAGTGGTGTCAGGCTATAACTTCCAAGAAGAGTACAACAGAGTTTTTGCGTTCTGTCTTTAACACCCTCTCTTGCGCTCTTTGAGGGGCAGCCAGCTGCCATGCAGTGAGTTACCCTATGGAGAAACCCAAGTTGCAAGAAAATGATATCTCTTTCCAACCGTCAGTGAATGGGCTTGAATGGGTTCCTATCTCAGGCAAATCTTGAGATAACTGAACAATGCTACACTGGACTGGATAACACCTTAACTGCAGTTTGGTGGGAAATCTGGAGCCAAGGTGTCCAGCTACTCTGCATTAAGATTCCAGATCCAATGTATTAAAGGTTTGATGTTCTAAGCCATTAAGTTTGAGAGTAATTCATTATACAGTAGTATATAACTAATCCAAATGCCTACTATGTGCCTTGTACGCATATTTGATTCTCTTAATATTCTAAAGATAGTCAGTAGAAAAAAAAACTTGAATATTAAATGTAAGATTCTAATGACCCTAAATTACTAGTCAAATATGACATTAAAGTACTAATTCTGTTAAATCTGAAAAGCATATTTAACTTCTTTGATTGGTATATATCAATGTCTAAACCAATACTCATCATAACCCAAATTAAAAGTTACAAATGAAATCACAAACTTAATTTTCAAAGTTTGTTGTTAACCTCAAGAAAACAAATTTAAAAGTAGTAATTTGCCTCCTAGTAAATCTGTATTTTACTTGAAAAAACTGAAGTATATAAATTGTATTACAGGAGATAAAACCTTTAGCAACAATATTCACTTTTTGAGGATTAAGCTGCAAATGGATTTTATAATCTATGCAAGAAGAGAATATAACCATTCATTTTGTTCTGTATGAACTAAAGTAAAAGCATTAACAAAACAAAAACATTAATCTACTATATTTCCTAGACTAGAGCTTATTATGATTAAAAAATCACTATAGTACCCAATTACAATTATGGTAAAGTTTATGAAATGCAATCACAGTAATAGGTAAATTTTAAAAATTTGTCAACCTAGCTCCTCAGAGTTCCTTGTGTAATTAAAACTGAAATACTCAGCCGGGCTCGGTGGCTCAGCCTGTAATCCCGCACCTTTGGGAGGCTGAGGTGAATGGACTGCCTGAGCGCGTGGGTTCGAGACCCGCTTGGGCAGGCGAGACCTCATCTCTACAATAAATCAAAAAATTAGCTGGGCGTAGTAGCACACGCCTGTAATTCCGGCTACTTGGAAGGCTGAGGTGGAAAGATTGCCAGAGCCCAGCAGGTCAAGGCTGCGGTGGCCGGGAGCAGCCACTGCACTCCAGTCTGGGTGACAGAATGAGACTCCAACTCAAATAAATAAATAAATAATTTAAAAACAAAACAAAAAAACTGAAATACTCAAAGTCACTCAATCATGGATACATTAAAAATAAGAAAATCGAAGTATATTAGTGACAATATAATCACTGCACACTGGAGGTACTGGTACACAGAAATGCTTGACACTAGTGTTTCTAAGTTGAACCACCTACTATGAGAAACTGTGGAACAAGGAAAAAAACAAAAAGAATCAATCACAAGAATTATCTTAGATTTAAATGAAAGTCAAGCTGAAAAGTTCGCCAGCACAACTCATTCAGAACGTTTAATAATAAAAACATAAAAATACTGTAATAGAGCTATGAGCTCTAAGGCAATATTTTAGAAAGTGTTATGAAGGGCCACCAGCCACTACCATCAGGAAAAGGACAAACTGAGATGACAAGGAAGAGTTACTGTTGGGAAAGAATTCTCCATTGATTCCTCTAATCTCTGCACATCATGTAGTTTTTGTTCTAAATTATCTATCCAAGAATGTTTGCATAGCAAACTGTCTAGCAAGATAGAAACAGTAACTTCCTCTAGGGTAGAGGATAGATATGTTTTCTAGCCAATATAATAAAAATCATATCTCCCTGCAAAATAAAGATTGGACAAGTTTGCTAACAGCCTCCTTTAAAAGACTGGGGTATCCTAAGATAGGGGTTTCTTTGCTGTAACACAAATGCATAGTGTGTGCACCATTCACCTCATCTTCACAGTGCCCCCTGTGAGTCCTGGAAGTCAGAGGAACTGATGCAAAAAATGAAGCTGATGCTGCTAGCTGCGCCGTGAATCCCCTGTAGTCTCAGGTTTTCTGCCAGCATCAATGAAACTGTGGCAGGCTAACTTGTTAACTTGCTGATAACAGTAAAAATCAGGCCTGCTGCAGTGGTAGCTCACACCTGTAAACCCAACATTTGGGAAGCTGACTCGGGAGGAATACTTGAGCCCATGAGTTAGAAAGCAGCCTGGACAACACAGTGAGGCCCTATCTCTATTTATTTTTTTAAAAGTAAAATGTAAAAAAAATATGATTTTTTAAAAGAGTACAAATCTCAGAACCTTCACAATTTTTTATGCCCTTTTTATATGCTATATCCTTATCACCTGGGACAATTTCAAGTCTTACATTTGTTGCAGGTATCGGTAGATCTCTAGAGAAGCAGTGATTAATACTGAAAAACCTCAGGGGCTATAAAAACCTTAAAGAACAACCAGTCATTTCTTTTAGTCTGCCATGTATCCTTATGTTTCATTGACTCATTTATTATCAAGTACTTTCTTATGTAGGAATATCATTCTCAATGAGTTCAAAGACTAAGACAGAAATATATACAACTATTGCAACACAATTTTACGCAATCTATTTAAAGAGGGGTTATATATATTAAAAATTTATCACTTTTCCAGAAAATTTTCTACAGTAGAAATATTAAGAATGTTCATGTTGCATTAATTATTTTATTTCCATATGTAATAAAATTTTCAGCTTAGCTATTCAAAGTATGGTCCAAGAACCAAGAGCTTCAACATCACCTGGAACTTGTTAACAATGCAGATTGTCAGGTTCCAAAACATGCCCCTCAAAACTAAAACATGCATTTTGGCAAGATCTTCAGGTGATTCTCATGCACACGGCAGTTTATACTGACTGCCCTACCCCAGACATTTGAACAAATGAACGACTGGATACCATATCTTCCCCTATCAAAAAAATCTAAGGGACACAAGTAAATCTTGAATTTATACTGATGTGTCTGTTAATAGACATATTACAATCACAAATGTTAGCTTAGCAATAGTTAAAGACAAGAAAAATATAGTCACAAACCATGTAAAAAATAGTTAGCTATCAATCTTAGCATAATCCAGTAAAATTTAATCTGAACAGGAGGACAAAATGAATAGTCAAAAGAAAGAAAACTATCACAATAAGATAATGTAAAGTTGTGACAATATTCATGTAAGTACTTCAAAAAAACAAAAACACCTTTCATCTTTTTATTTTCAAAAAAAATAAAAATAGCCCAGAACATAGCATATAATGGAAAATTTATACATTTTTCTAATCAGAAAAAGCACCCTAATAAGACAACTCTTAGAACAAAACTCAAGACAGGAATTTAAAGGGAAAAAAAAAATAAAAAAGCCAAGTCAGCTTTCAAACTTATTTTAGCATGCTATCCAGAACACAGAATTTTGACTATTTAATTTTCTCATATTTTGTACATGAGTCAAATGACTCAGGAATTTTACAAATGTTAAATCAGAACATTCTGGCTATAAAACCATTTATATAAAATTGCCTTTTAACTACCCTTCATGACTTAAACTTTCCAAAATCTACACAGGTTGCTATGTTTTTACTTGTTTCTACCCTCATGCATTTTTACCATAACAAAAACTGTAATCCTACTTAAAGCTAAGTTTTCTTTTCATGGTGAAGTGTAGGCTGTCATTTGATAATTCTGTTTTCTATTCTTTACAGCTTTAAGGTAAGTTATTGTAGTCAATCATATTGAAAAGTTTTCAGCACATCTTCACAAAAGAATTTTTAAATATCAAGTTGTAAAGGTAAAAGAAGTTAACTAACAAAACTTAAGGTTTCTAAAAATCCAAATTAACAAAAATTAATATTTAAGTGAAGTTTTCAACCTGAAATGCTTTCACAAGATGGGAACAGTTAACAACAGTAATTGAAACATTATGTAAAGCACATAAAATAATATACCTCTCTCTTATTTCTTCTTGCAACCTTGAGGAATTCCATAAGAATCTGTAGTTGGGCTGCATGTGATTCCTACAATAGAAAATTATAATTTTTCTTTAAAAAAATAGAACTTTGAGTTCAAAGTTTTATTTAAAACCATAGTATAACCAGTATAAAGCAACTTTAACATCCATTTAAGTTTCTCTATTACTTCTGTTTAATCAGTTTTCTCATTTGCTAGTTGGTATTTTTAAAAGCAACCCATTTTCTGAAAAACTAATTTTTAAAAAATGGGTATTCTAAATTACATTCCTCATCTGAGAAAACTATTTATGGGGAATGGCAATTTTGTTTTCTGACTCCTAGCCTTCTCCAGCTTAACTAATAAAACATCACGACAACAATCATAGTGGAACATAGTTTCTAAAAACATTTTCCCCGTAAGAACTTCATTGCAAAGCTAAGTGTAACAAATAGGGAAAAATCCATACCTTTCAGAAGTCAAGCTTACTATTTCTAGTTATTACTTACTCACAAAGATGTGAGAATTAATATACTTCTGTAAAAGATTTCAGTCAAAATCAAACATTTAAAACGAAAAACTTTTCCTATAACCAGGGATGGGAGTGGGGGGGAGAAACCCAAATTGGTGACCGAACCAAAGACAGCACAGATAAATGATAATTATAAGACTTGGCATTTATCAAAACATAAAAATACAAGTAAATATCTTTTACTGTTAAAATTCACAAAAAGAATCAAGAATTCCAGGTGAATCTGATAAATATATGTAAAACAGAATATCAAAAGCTAAAAATAACAGTAAGATATAGTTTATGGCCAAATATAATCCCAATTTTATCTCGAATATTTAAAATGAGAATAAAAGAGCCCAGGAGAGTAATTCCAAAACAAACAAAAATATACAAATAAAAAAATAAAATTTTCATTTACTTGGCTATCCAAGAGAATTATTTGGGGCATTGGTTAACATAGACACAGGATCAAATTTTAGAAATTCTGATTCTGTTGCTCTAGAAAAGGTTCTAGGAATATGCGTTTTATTTTATTTATTTTTTTGAGTTGGAGTCTCACTCTGCAGCCTTGACTTGCTGGGCTCCAGCGATCCTTCCGCTCAGCCTTCCAAGTAGCTGGAACTACAGGCGCGCTACCACGCCTGGCTAATTTTTTGATTTATTGTAGAGATGAGGTCTCGCCTGCCCAGGTGGGTCTCGAACCCGCGGACTCAGGCAATCCACTCACCTCAGCCTCCCAAAGGCATGGGATTACAGGCTGAGCCACCGAGCCCGGCGGAATATGCGTTTTAAAAGCGTCCAAATTCTAAGAATAAGCCAATTATAATTTGCAGAATTGCTAAGCTATAACACATACTACCAAAAAGTATGACCACCTCACTTTCACTCCCTGAGTTTATTCCTCTGGGGGGAGAAAAAGAACTCTTTGAATTAAAAAATGATAATAATAACAGGCAAAACAGATCAATGAAATTTATAAATCAAGGCAAATAAGGAGAGATGAAGTCAAATATAAACTGATAATCATAATCGGATATTTTAATTAAAAACACAATTTAATTAATGTTTACAATTGAATAAATTTATAAAGCATGGTATCATGAAGATTTAAATTTTTTCTTGCATAACAAAGCAGCTTTATTTGGACCTTAGAACCATTTCTGAGAAGTGAGTTAAACCGTCACAAAGAACAAACTCACAAGGGTTCTGTATCCCAACAGTGATAACTAAGCCTCCCAGATCCTTGACATCTTTCTTGGTACTTCTCTATATTGATTATCTAAACCTGTTTACAGATTGTCTAGAGGATAAAGATCACATCTTTAAACAAAAAGGACCATCTTTATATAAAAAGAACATCTTTATACAAAAAGTAACAGCCAAGACTACTAATAAAGTACATATTTCATTTGCAAAAGAAGTGTGCAAACTATCTTCAAAATTATACCTTCAAATACTCCTTTTCAATCTATCAACTAGAATATGTAAAAGGACAAGAACGCAACTGATCTGTAGTAGAGGGGAAAATCCTCCCTCACATGTCAAGGTCAAATAGAAAATGGAAACTACATATACTGGGAGCTCAGAACATAACACTTTCTTCTGCAGTTTAATCTTAAAAGATCTTCAAGAAAGGAAATTCATGACAAATTTATGAAACTAGTTTCATATGTATATATAAAATAAAATAATATAAAAGACATAACGGAGAAGTAAAAAGAGAATGCTTAAAAATAGAAAGTGTATAACCAATTATACCAAAATGACTACTCATATGCTAAACAACTCCTGGGTCAATGATGAAATCAAAACAGAGATTAAAAGATACCTGGAAACAAACGAAAATGAAGAAACATCTTACCAAAATCTCTGGAATGCCATGAAAGCTGTAGTAAGAGGGGAATTCATATCTACAAACACACATGAAGAAAATGGAAGGATCACAAATTAACAGCCTAACAAGTCATCTAAGGAAGCTGGAAAAGTAAGACCACTAAAACCCTAAATTCAGCAGAAGAATCCAGATCACCAAAATAAAAGCCCAAATCCGGGACATAGAAGACAAAAAGATAATCCAAAAAAAAATCAATGAAACAAAAAGCTGATTCTTTGAAAGGATAAACAAGACCGATGGTCCCCTAGCTAGACTGACCAAAAAAAAAGAGAGAAAAAGCCCAAATAAACACAATCACAAACACAAAACATGAAGTCACATCTGACCCTGAAGAAATACAACAGATCATTAGAGACTACTATGTACACTTGTATGGAAACAAACTTGAAAACCTTAAGGAAATGGAGGACTTTTGGACATCACACAACCTGTCTAGGTTGAAACAAGAAGAAATCCAGACCATAAAATGACCACTAACAATCATGAAATTGACTATGTAATAAGAAAACTACTTACAAAAAAAGTAGTGGACCAGATGGCTTTCTAGCAGAATTCTATAACATATTTAAGGAGGAACTGATACCAATCCTACTGAAAGTATTCCAGGCAATTGAGAAAGATGGAACTCTCCCCAAATCATTGTAGGAAGCTAACATCACATTGATACCCAAGCTAGGTAAAGACCCAACAAAGAAAGAGAACTACAGGCCAATATCTTTGATGAATATAGATGCCAAAATTCTCAACAACATCCTAGCAAACCAGATTCAACAACAAATCTCAAAAATCATCCATCATGACCAAGTAGGCTTCATCCCTGGGACGCAAGGCTGGTTCAACATTCGTAAAACCATAAATGTAATTAAATACATCAACAGATGTCAAAACAAATCCCACATGATTATATCATTAGCTGCAGAAAAAGTTTTTGATAAAATCCAGCACTGCTTCTTGATTAAAAACTCTCGAATATCTAGGCATATGTGGAACATATCTCAAAATAGTAAAAGCCATCTACGAGAAACCCACAGCCAGTATACTCCTAAACAGACAAAAATTGGAACCATTTCCCCCGAAAACTGGGACACGACAAGGAAGCCCACTCTCACCCCTCCTGTTTAGTATAGTATTGGAAGTCCTGACTAGGGCAATCAGAAAAGAGAAGGCAATCAGGGGTATCCAAATAGGAAAAGAGGTAGTCAAGTTATCTCTCTTTGCAGACGACATGATTATATACCTTGAAAACCCAAGAGAATCTGTCAAAAACCTCCTTGCACTGGTAAAGGACTTTGGCAAAGTCTCAGGGGTATAAAATAAATGTGCAAAAGACAATTGCATTTCTTTACACCAATAATAAACAAACAGAAACCTGCCAAAAAAACCACAATCCCATTCACAATAGCCACAAAAAAAAAGAAATACCTTGGCATCTTTCTAACCAGAGACGTGAAAGACCTTTACAATGAAAAATACAAAACACTGCTCAAAGAAATCAAATATGACACAAACAAGTGGAAAAACATCCCATGCTCATGGATTGGAAGACTCAACATTGTGAAGATGTCCATCTTACCTAAGGCAATCTACAGATTTAATGCAATACCCATCAAATTACCAGCAACATTCTTCTCAGATGTAGAAAACTCAATACAGGAATTCATATGAAAACACAAACGACTAAGAATACCCAGAACAATCCTCAGCAAAAAAAATATAGCAGGAGGTATCACAATACCAGACTTTAAACTTTACTATAAACCTACAATAATCAAAACAGTTTGGTACTTGTACAAGAACAGGCATACAGACCAATGGAATAGAATTGAAATTACAGAAGCAAAACCTCAATTTTTCAACCAACTCATCTTCAACAGAGCCTCCACCGCTCACCACTGGGGAGAGGAGAACCTATTCAGTAAATGGTGCTGGGAAAACTGGCTGACCACAAGCAGAAGATTCAAACAGGACCCCTATCTATCCCCATACACAAAAATTAACTCTAAATGGATCAGAGATCTAAATGTAAAACATCAAACCATAAGAACTCTAGAAAATGCAGGACACACCCTTATGGAAGCTGGAACTGGCATCCAATTCCTGAGCAAAACCCAAAACAAACGGGCCATAAGAGATAAGATAGACAAGTGGGACCTCATTAAACTAACAAGCTTCTGCAAAGCCAAAGAAACCATCAAGAGAGCAGGGAGACAGCCCACAGACAGGGAAAAAGTTTCTGCCAACTCCATGTCTGACAAAGGCCTAACATCTAGGATCTACAAGGAACTGAAATGTGCTGAAAAGAAAAAGCAAACAACCCCATTACTAAGTGGGCAAAAGATATGGACAGACACTTCTCAAAAGAAGACATATGAGCGGTCAACAGACACATGAAGAAATGTTCAACCTCACTAGTCATCAAGGAGATGCAAATTAAAACTACACTGAGATACCACCTAACTCCAGTCAGAATGGCCATTATCAATAACTCAAAAAATAACAGTCGCTGGAGAGGGTGTGGTGAAAAGGGAACACTTCTACACTGTTAGTGGGAGTGTAAACTAGTACAGCCTCTGTGGAAATCAGTGTGGCGATTCCGAAAAGCTCTAAAAATCGACATTCCATATGACCCCGCAATCCCCCTACTGGGAATATATCCTGAA